TTGCGGCGTTCCAGCAGCTTGCGACAGTTCTGACAAGTTCTTATGTGGGGATCTCCTTCAGGTCCAAGAATAGAATTGAGGCTGCTGTTACTTCCTGTCCGACGGAGAAATCCTACTTCTCCATCTTGATTTTGAAAGGTGGGATCCGTTAGTTTTTCTGAAATAAAAAAATTAAGATAGTGCAATATAATGAGCTGCCTAAGCCAAATATTTATTTGATATTTTGAAATTTCTATTCATTTTCCAATCATAAATTGATAAGCTTCAGGTAAAACCAGTTATCCTTATTTCTGGTGATGGCAACCTTTAGTACTATATTTAGTCAAATTGCTAAGAAATACTGTGAATCTATACTTATTGTTTCTTTTTTTCACATTAGAATTCATGTCATAAATATCAGCATCCTATTAAAAAGTCTTTATAAAATAACAACTTAAGTACCACACGTATCTTCAAACTGGAAAACTTTTTTTCTTCATTAATTACCCCTTTTGAGGTCAACATGGTGAAATAAGGACTCGAGACCTGCCATGGCCTACAAGGTGACCTGACAGGGGCCGCGTAATGGCCGAGGTCAGGACAGGTCATCGAGTGGGCCAGGTCAAGGGTCCATATTTTACCATGTTGAACTCACAAGGGGTAATCAATTGTTTTATTATACCGATATATATTGAAAAGTATGAATCTCTATAACCTTTTATCAATTCTTTCTTATATCGGGATCCGGATTCACTACACTCCATGTAGTGATATTGTTTACATTGACGTCTGCAAGTCATGTAAGTTTTTGCATCATGATTTACTGATTAAAACAATATTTGGTTGATAGAGACATAAATTGTTGTAACTAGCGATTACTTTTCCTCTACACAGTCAAAATCTAACACAGAATTCAACTCTTTAAAGAGCTGCTTCTACAATACATTGAATTGTTACGATATTTTGAAATGAGTAAACCGTTTTAGTTAACGATAAAATTTTACCGTATTCTGCCGTATGGTAATGCAAAACAGACCATGCACAATTTTAAAAACATGTGGCTTTTCTCAATAATCATTATTTCATGCATTAACTTCACCCAAAAAGGAATTTTTGATTAAGAGGCATTATTTAGCAGTCATTAATAATAATGACCGGGTCATTATATCCCACGTGCAATGATTCCTAGGTCATTCTTGCTGTAAACAGTACATGTACCATTTGGAGTCATTGTTGTGTTTTAAAGTTTTCTTACCAGCCAATCAAATCCGAGTATTATCAATAGAGGTAGAATAACATGTCTTTACAATACCAAGTTCAATATATTTTGACAGAAATATGACTTACTGGCAAACGAGTATGGTAGAAACTGGGAGCACCGGTCACACATGATGTCTCCACAGAGTCGACAATGGTGGCGCCGCCTGGTGAGGGTGAAATTACGTCGACAGAACGGACACTCTTTGACGTGACTGTCAGGAAGCCAGGGTACAACAGACTTCTCATAGGCTGGAAATCACAGAAAGAAAATGTTTATAACAAATACATCTTCATTTAATACTCCTTTGTAAATCCAATTTCAATAAAATGTGCACTACTACTTCACTCTTCTTGGATATAAAGATATCTTTCCATACATAAGTTTCCATCTAATGAACAATTGATATTGCCCAAATCAAAACATTTACCAGTACTGTACATGTAGTGACGGTAATATATCCATTGAAATAAATATCCAAAGAAACATAATCAGTTTCAATTAATGTCTGTTTATAAATTGGGCTTAAAAGTAAACCTCTGCGTTTGCTGGTTTCCATGGGAGCATCTGGTCCAGTAAGCTTATCCAAACGAATGATCAACTTGTTGGTTTCAACGACGTATCTGTCAACCTTTGCCCCTCTGTGTGCTTTATATAGATCTGTCCAGGAATGGATCACTCCTTATGATTATCAAAAATATTGTTTTAATAAATACTTCCCATAAACAGAATTTATCAACTCTCGCTTTACAAATCTACAATTCATTGATAAGTACTGGTAAGCTCAGATATCACTGAATCTAAAACCATAAATTAGGGTTCAATAATCATTCTTTTAATTGGTCCATGAATGTGGTTTAATGTACCTTTACAGGCACGTAGCATCGATTTTGAAAGTGGAGGGCCAGCCACTGAAATTTTTTTTTACTTACCTGAAAGGGGGGGGGGGGAGGCAAAATTTTTTCACTACCAATTCCTTTCAATATCCATTTTCTAGGCTTACAATACCGTATTTCCTTCATATTACTTTACTTTAGTATAAAGTGGGGGGAGGGCCAACCAGCCTTTTAATGAACATTTTGAATAGTAAAAGTATTGTTGGCAAAAAAAGTGTGGGGGGGCCAGCCCCCCCCCCCCCCCCTGTCGCTACGTCCCTGCTTTAAATACACAACCATAACACACTGTCTATTGTATTTTAAAATATGCAAAATTATCATCCATCTCTAGTAAGAATAATGAATGTAAACTTAGAGCTACAGTATACAAGTGTATTATAATTATGGATGTTTGACAGAAGAATGATAAACTTGAAAAATTATAAAATGAATCTACAAAACGGCCTTCAACTGACCTATTTCTTGAGGCTCCCAGGCTACAGGGTCATACCCCGATATTGTGGCGGCTGGGCTTCTGTAGACTGAGGACTGAAGGCCTGACTGACCTCCATCTTCCACCTCATCCCTGTCCCCCAGGATCTTCTTCTTAGCTTTGCCAAACAGACCTGTTGATATAGTACTGATGTGTTTATGCTTATATTTGTGAAAGATTCATGTTTATATATGTTTTATATATGTACGCACATGAAGAAAGTAATGCATATTGCATGTACAAGGGATGATCCAAAAGTAATGTCACAGTGTCCATATCTTTAATATTTGGCATCATATTATCAAATATAATACACCAAAAGATGCACAGACATGAATCAAATTAAACTTGAAATTTTCATTCAATAATGTTTAACTGATGTTATTTCAAAGATGTTTTAAACACAGAACATAGGGGGTGTCGCCACGTCACAACCGAACGTCACAGATTTAAGTGTGCTTTGTTTTAGAATAAAATAGATAAGCATATTAAAAACCATCTTTTAAAATCGCATAATCAAAAAATATTTTAAAATAAAAAATTTACATTATTTTTTAGCATTAAGTTGAAAATTATATGGCATAATTGCTATTTTTGATCAAAAACTTCGTTGTTTTACTTCGGTGCATTGAAAAAAAGAAATGTCGAGATGGACAAAAAAAAAAAGCCAAAACAAACTGTAATGCATTTTGCTTTAAAATTGAGAAATGTTATGTTGATTCACCAGACTCACAGAGAAAAGAATGTAAATAAGACACGTATTTAGATGGTTTCAGCGATTTTGGGTGGTTGATGAGTCATTAAATGTTTAGCAGATGACAAGAAGACCGAAAGGTGGGAGGGCGGACGGAAACATTCAATGGTGTGTGATGTTGTCAAAAAAGACAGACATTTAGAGCGATATGTGAAATTTTAAGTTGGTCTTATACTTCTGTTAAAAGAAATTTGACAGACGAATTAATTATGGAAAGAGTTGGATACAAAGTTTTCTTTAAGGAAATGAAACTTGTGAACGCAAGCATGGATCTCAATTTTTTTTTTATTAATGAAACTAAGGGACGCGTTTTAATGTATGACGGCGTGTATCCCTCATATGACGTTATTTAGGTGCGGCGAGTACCATAATCGCATGTTATATATAATTCAATATTTTGAAAAGTATAAATCATGTTACATTGAAAATTGCAGGTCTGATTTAAAATAAATGTAGCTTTCATCTTAATAATTTTGTTGTTTTACATCGACAAGTAACTATTTTATCGAAGTCGTGACATTACTTTTGGATCAACCCTCGTACATGCATTCATAACAGTAATTATGAGCAAATTTTAACTAGCAACAAATTTCTACAGCTGGAATGGTCCTCTTCCCCCCTCCCCCCCAAAAAATTCTTAAACCATGTAATATTATTTTTTGTCATTGGATATAAAATGACTCTTACATATTTTTTTTTTTTATCAATATTGATCAATAACGAAAATATAAACTTTTGCAAAATTAATTATTTTAATAAATGTATCAATGATTTATAACCTCTCAATTGTTGTAGTACATCCTTATCCTCTGAGGAATGCTCCTCCTCAAAATGGCCCTGTAACATGGTAACAGTGCCCAGATCTTTCATACACATTGGGCAGAGGAAGCCCTCTCTCACTTCTGCTGAAGTTGCCATTTTTGTTTGCTTGAAGATTGTGCCACTCACTGCACTTGCTATAAAATGTAAAAATCAAACCAAAATGGTTATAAATTTCTCATAATATTGCATACGGAATTTTACACATTTACGCTGACTGAATTTCTTGATCATGGGTTTGTTATGTGGCGTCAGACGGGTTTCTAACGCCAGTGGCTAAATAGCTCAGTCAGTAGAGCACTTGAACAGATATTCAGGGGCTTGGGTTCGAATCCCGTCTGGTCTGCTGCATTTCTCTCCTCTCCCTTTACATTTAGTGCCATTCCAAACCCTGGAACTGACAGGTGAGAGGCCTGCCAAGGATGAGCCTGGGTTGGGGTCTTTGAGGGACCATAAATACCTTTCAGGAGGGAGGATGTGGCGGTTAGCTGGGCTCGTTTGCCAAGTGACCAGATAGTAATCTCAGCGAGATGTCCTTGGGACAAAAAATTTTGGTCTGGTGTCCATTACGACATCTCGAAGTGGATACCAGATCAAAATTTTTAGTCCCTACGACATCTCGCTGAGCTAAGCCATATACTGTAAATCACTTTTTATTCGCGAGAACTTTATTTTTGCGTAATTACGTGAGACAGTGTGCTCGCGAAAATTAAATTCTCGCGTATAATAGTATTCCTTAAGATTATATAGAGCAATAACCACAGTTCGTGAAAATTTTATTTCGCTAATCAAGAGTCAATGACTATCTAAGGTGTCGCGAAAATTTAGTGATCTACAGTACTGTACATGTAGCTCAGTCGGTTGAGCACCTGATCGGAGATCAAGGGTGCTTTAAAAATTTCCATACCTTTCAAGGCATGTGAAGCAAAATGCAGAAAAGGGCATATAGATTACATATTCTTAATATCAAGACCCAGGCACCTGTGGTGCACAATAATATTACACTACAGTCAAGTCATACTCGAGTCACACCCCTTTAGTAAAAATTGCCTGTCTGTTTCTTCTTTTCCAATGCATCAAGCAAAATACATAAATATAGATGAAAAGTGATCTAAGTTGATCATGAATCTACCCACACTTACTACAACCCGCTTTTATCCTTTATTTTCTGTCATTTATGGGTACTGGGATAACATCTGTCAATTTTGCCGGAAGTAGTCTTTGCTATATAACTACAAAAGTCAGGAACCCAAAAATTAAGTTTTCATATAATATATATATATTTAAGGGTAACACGAATCACCGGAATGCCCCGTAATCACCGAAATGCCCTTACAAATCACCGAAATGCCCAACAAAATCACCAAAATGCCCACACATATGTTTTTACACGATGTTTTTCATAAAAATTAATTCTTATTTTAATCATTAAAGCATTACTGACGGTAGAATTAATTTTTTTTAGGTTTTGTGCTCGCGTACTTCAAAGGGCGATAACTCGTATTTGATGATAATTTTCTAGGAAGCGAGATCTACGTACCCCAATAGATATATATAAAATAATAATGATATTTCTCAGAAAAAAATGATGACAAGTGATTGACAATTTGTTACCCGTCATCGTTATTGTTTCATGACCTTTAATTAATAATGTAATGTTAAAATATGGTTTGTATAGGTTCCTAGTCTTAATGATGCTTAATCATATCTTAATGATTCACCATCGTTGGAGCAGTTTAAAACTTCTATTCAGAACCTCCGACCTTGGAACACTTACCCTGCACACTAAGATATCAACAGTGACCTGTACAGTGTATATATATGTTAAGGAACAACCTTTTTTACATTTGGACATTCCACTGCACGCATGTACATAGTCCTCGCTGATAAATGTCCATATGGATTTTCGCGAGTATACACATTGAAATGTCTATAGTCAAGTGCACATGCTATTATTACAGATACTTATATCATACGAACACTGTTTTTTAACTAGCTGAAGTTTTGTGGAATGTGGATTAATTTAAGTTTTTTTATTAATTGTTTGTGTCCTTTTCTTTTTTTTTTCTTCCTTTCTTCCTTTTTAATTGACTTTTTGTGAACCAGGTTGGACCATTTATACGCCTGCCGACACCTGTCTGGTGAAATACATGTAGGTATGGCGGTAATCTCTAAATACCCGTCATTATTTATGGAGTAAATTTATCTTTTATTAAATATACCTGATTTTAAGGACTATAAAGTTTATGTTTTACCAAACAAAATGAGAGAGAGAGAAGATAACGGTAGACCAATTCCTGTGATAATTTACGATCGATATGAAAGATTTTCAAAAGACAAATGCAATCACAAAAGGAAAAAAAAGGTTTTTTTACTCTGTATTTCGTTAAGCAATGAAAATGTTTCATTTTTTAAAAAAATATTTATTTTAATTTGTTACTTGCAATTGATTAGATACATTGTCAGTCAGGTCAATTACGGATCGTTTCTCTTGTATATTAGCGAATATTTCGGAAGTAGCAAGTGCTTGATAAATCATGTAATGTGTCTATTAAACCCATTCAACAACTTAAAAAAAAATTAAAGTAAATTGTCAACTTTTACTATTTCATTTTCAATTGATGTAGTAAACTGTTCAATAGCAAAAGATACCCTTTCCTGTGTTTGTATAGCGCACGTGCGTAATTTCGGTCACTGGTTGTCATTTACCTGAAGATGTAACATGACATAAGAGTACTACACACCTGTCACTAGATCAATTATTTAATAACTGTGTATACACAGTAAACATAATAATTATTTCAGATATCCAATTGTTTCAAACCAATTGAACATTGAACACAATAAAATCAAATTAATTTTGTCTTCGTTCTTTTTTTTTATCTTTTATAGTAAAATATGAAACTTCCAAAAAAGTTTGTTATCTTATATATATACCAAAAATGAAATAAATTCATAATTTTTATAGATTTTATTATATTTCTTTCAATATTGCAGTTCTTTTCTGTGCTGAAATGAAAAAAAGTGTATAATGATTTATTTTCCTCAGAAATAGTGTGAACATAATATGATGTCATTAATTTACGAATTAGATCAGCAAAACTTTAATTCATACATGTAATATTTATAATACACTATCAACCATTTCCTTCGATCCTTGTAAATTAAACAATGTACAAGTGACATATATAAGTCCCTGATTATATCAATCATATAATCTTATTGTTCAGTAAATAAAAAATAAATTTTGATTAAAGTCATATATGGCATATATTTTGGTTTATATACTATAAACGTAAAATCTTTCTATTTGATTATAAATGTTACTTTCCAGTAAAATTACACATGTGTCCTCCTTTTTTAGAAATCAAGAAAATACGTCAATAATATTACAAAAAAATTTTTTATAAAAGAATACATTATTGTTAGGAATATATTTAAACGAAAAATAGGGAAAAATAAAATAAATAAAACTATTTTGGCACGTGTCTTTAATCAGTGAGAGTTATCTTTCTTTGATACTTACATGCACATATCTTCAAATAAAAATACTTACGCTAAAATTATGAAATTTTTACTTGGTATCTAGGCTTTAGAACAGTTAATTTCATCAATATTTATTATTTTTTTGTTTATTTTTAACAATATAAGGGGCTTTTCGGTGGCATTTCGGTGATTTCTTGGGGCATTCCGGTGATTACAGGGCATTCCGGTGATTCGTAGTACCGTATATTTAAAATATATAAGAAGTTCGTGCATCTTTCTATTGCTTTTATTTGTTGTTTGTTAGAATAATAATTAATATATTTTTATCAACCCCTCTTTAAGAAATAATCGAAAAAATACATCTCTTCCAATTACGGATTTATGTCTGAATAATTTGACTTTTACGTTTCCTTTTCCGCTTTCAACTCCATAGCGAGGTACATGTGGTTCAACATTTTAGTGACGCTTTTCTGTTAAATTAGTCAATTTTACATGCTTTATACTGCAGAATTATGTCTTCTCACAACACATTTCTGTTTACTTCAAACAAAAAACAAGAAATGTTCACGGTTTAGAAGTCAGCAGAATGAAAAATTAAGTTTTTGTGTCAGTCAGCTCTGGTGAGGGGAGATAATTTGAAATGTTCAGCTCGACTAACCACAGGAGTCGGCAATTTTATCAATAAATAGAAAATAAATGGTAAACAGGCATAAATCCTACCAGTGAGCTTCGCGAGCGTAGCGAGCGAAGCGACAGGATGGCAACGAGTTTTCTCGATTTTCTCTAAATCGCTGTCCAGCCAATAGTTAGAATAATCTAACTGTGTCTCGGTACAGGCCCTCACCACAGTTAGAATACCACCCATATACTCGCAATGTTGCAAAAAATTGCAGAATCGCACCGAAACGATTTTGAAGAATATAAAATGATTTGCACTGGGAATAACTACCAAAATAATCAAAACAAACCTTCTTGAGATTGCTTATGCCTTTTATCCCAAAAAATAATCCATATAAATACGAAAATCCAATTAATTTTCTCAACGTTTTTCTCTCGATTCAAATTACCTGCCATGTTTACATTCGGAACTCTCTAGATTGTTCCTAGTAAATGCACTATGCGAGTTATCGCCCGTGTTTCTTTCTGCTACATTACGAATACACGGAACGAATTCTATCGTTAAACCGGGTCCGTAGGACAATATCATTTTAACGATAGAACATTCTATCTATCCAGCCAACATCAAACTCCACAAATCAACTTCGGAGTGTCCAGTAAGTAATTCCTAACATTTTTTACCATTCAACTACCCTTAATTATCTCCATAACCACACTTTTTCACATCTCGTTTACAACCAGCGTCCATTGACAATCTGCGTGACGTCACACAAACTGCAGCAAATAATAATTCTTCAAATTAATAAATATGCTATTAAAAATTTTTTTACCAATGGATTAAGTTTTTATTTATTTTTTAATGTTTATATAACTCAAAAAACATTTACTAACTCTATCCCTTAATAGAAATTGGAATGTGTTGATTCAAAAAGAAAGGGAGATAATCGTCTACTTTCGTTTGTGGGAAATATAAAAACAGAGAGTGACAGTCGTTTTTTATTAGTGATTCAAGACAATTGAAGATGTCCAGCAATTTTGGAGCTTCTGTTCAGTAAGTGGATTTTTAAAAAATCAATTACTAATGCCGAAAACACAATAAAAGAGACCCAAAATGATTATTTATTATTTGCTGCAGTTTGTGTGACGTCACGCAGATTGTCAATGGCCGCTGGTTGTAAACGAGATGTGAAAAAGTGTGGTTATGGAGATAATTAAGGGTAGTTGAATGGTAAAAAATGTTAGGAATTACTTACTGGACACTCCGAAGTTGATTTGTGGAGTTTGATGTTGGCTGGACAGCGATTTAGAGAAAATCGAGAAAACTTGTTGCCATCCTGTCGCTTCGCTCGCTACGCTCGCGAAGCTCACTGGTAGGATTTATGCCTGTTTACCATTTATTTTCTATTTATTGATAAAATTGCCGACTCCTGTGGACTAACGAAATGTTTAAATCTGACACCACTTTACCAAAATGTGCAGTCTATCGGACCGGACGATTTTTCCCGTCCTGATATGCCCTGTCCTCAACAGCATTTCGTCTCGCAGTTTCCCTTTCTTAGTAAATCTTAGAGATGGCAGTTCTTAGACTTGGAATAAATCGAACTCAAATTTTTTAATGGTTTAATAAATTTTCTGGACGACTCTCACCATACGGTCAGCTCTCTGCTTTTGTTACCCTCAACTGTTTTTTGTGGTCCTTGTCTGTGGATAAGTTAATCATGTTTGATTTCTTCTTTTTTTTTTAAAGAGAGAGAGTTGATTTCCCTGTGATGACTATATGTCATGCACCACGCTTGAACACACTTTAATGTGTGTCTGTGAAGATTTGACAGATTCAAGTTCTGAGGGAATAATTGAAAGTACAATTAACACCATATTGGCAATTGTGGCATTTAGATAGTTCATCAGGTCCAGTCAAAAGACTATTTAAACCTACCCAAAGTAGCTATTTTTACCTACTTTCTACTTTACTTGCATTTTGTGGCAAAATGACTGAATGGCACAATATGCTGAGTAGCTGCAATAATGTAGCCCTCTCCCTTTTTTTTGGGGGGGGGAGGGAGAGGGCTACAACTCCTTAGGATCTCCGTAATGGTGGAGAGCAAAGCGGGAGCGATTCACTCCCGCACG